CTCCTCCTCCCGCTCCTCCTCTTTCTCCTCCCACCTCTGACGAGGAGGCCCTTGGACGACTTCCAGGAACCCTACCCAACAGCCCCTTGCATTCTTCCACGCTTCAACGTGCCAGGAGGCAGGATGGCGGATTGATAGAGCACGGAAGCGATCGCATGCCGGCGTTTGCCCGATAGTCACACGCTTGCAGATGCTCTGGTGAAGGTCCATTCAGTCTCGGCGCCCGTCCTCATCTCACCGTCTTTCCCTCGCAGTCCTCCTTCTCCTTCTCTTCCTCCTCCTCTTCCTCCTTCACCTCCGCCTCCGCCTCCGCCTCCGCCTCCGCCTCCGCCGCCGCCGCCGCCGCCGACGACGACGACAACGACGACGACGACGACGACGACGACGACGACGGACGATGGCGTCCCATGGCGACGACGACTGGCTCCAAGGGGATTGACACTGCGCAGTTCGGGGAGCTGCTGATGAGCTCTGGCCTCGTGCTGAACGAGGAGCGCCGACCGTGCGGCGGCGGCTCCGTATTCTCCCCTCGGGGGCCGCGACCCCCCCCCACTCCTCCCCTTCATCCGATGCTCGTTCTCGATCTCGGGGGCCTCTTGGGCCGTCTTAGAACGTCAGGAAGCCGAAAAGGCGAAGAGGCCAAACACATCGAAGAGCACAAGGGAAACTGAACGATTGTCCCCTCTCGGGGCCCTCTGGGGAGGCTTCTTGGGGGCCTCTTGAGGCCGACCTGACGGATCTCGTCGACTCCAGCTTGCCTCGAGAGCTCGACCGAAGCCCGACACCAGGGCCTCGCACGTTCGACGCAGCCTCGACGCACAAGCGGAGGGAGGAGCTCCAGGGAGGCCCCCAGCTCGAGCACCTCACGGAGCGAGCAGCACTTCCGCTGCGTGCGGGCGCTGGCGCAGGCGAGGATGCTGCGCGGCCCCCCCCCCCCCTACCCTGAGATCCTGGGGTCTGACTCTTTTCGAGCCCTGCGTTCTTTCGCCCGCCCTGGGGCCCCGGGACCGATCGATCTGGCTCGAAAACGGACCATCTGGGCCGATCTGGCCCCAGGGAGCTCCCCGGCACGAGTCGGACGGGCCGGGAATCGAGATGCGTCCGTTCCAGAGCGTTCCCGGAACGTTCTCACAGCGTTCGGGAACGCTCTGCAACGGCCGCGGCGTCCGAGACATCTCCAAACCCGCCGATCTCAGAGGTTTTTCGGTTGCGAAGGCCTTACTGCCACCTGTGGCAACACCCGAGGTGTTGCATTCAACACCGCCTCCTCGTGATGATGATGATGATGATGATGATGATGATGATGATGATGATGCCGATGATGATGATGATGATGATGATGATGCTGATGATGATGATGATGATGATGATGATGATGTTGCTGCTGATGATGATGATGATGACGATGATGATGATGATGATGATGATGATGATGATGATGATGATGATGATGATGCTGCTGCTGCTGCTGCTGCTGATGATGATGATGATGATGATGATGATGATGATGATGATGCTGCTGCTGCTGCTGCTGATGATGATGATGATGATGATGATGCTGATGATGATGATGATGATGGCACATTGAATGCAGTGCACATGGCAATTGAAACAGAAGCAATCTCATAGCAGCTCGCCTGCCTCATAGAGGGGGAAGGGGGTGGGGAACAGGGGGGAGGGATGACGCTTGCCTGCGATGACGAGCTGTGGAAGCACACGGAATCTGTGTACAGTCGCAGGGCCAACTGAGGCGCTCTTGGGCACCCGCCGTTCCTTACCTAGACTGTCTTTCTTGTTTTTTATCCTCTGGCGCCCAACAGTCGATACCCGGGTCAACCCGCCCCCCCGGGTAACCGTAGCGATCGTACGCGAGGGGGGGTGCTGGACCCCCCTCACATGCTGGTGCTCGCGCGCATGCTGCGGCGATCGCAGCGCACCCCCGCCCCGACGTGCCCCACCCCGCCCAAGCGTCACCGTGACCCGTGGTTCCAATCATAGGGGGCCACGTGCGAACCCTACCCCTACCCCCCACGATTTCTGAGGGGGAGGGTGGGGCTCACTTTGTTCGGGAGCTCCCGAGCGAAGTGAACCCCACCCTCCCCCTCAGAAATCGTGGGGGGCAGGGGTAGGGTTCGCACGTGGCCCCCTAAATCACCTTCCCCACGGGTAACGACTGCTGCTGGAAGTCATAAAAGCACAGGCTCTCGGGGCTCAAGAGACGGGGGTCAAGGCAAACGGGGGTCAGCCAGAGCGCCGGATCTTGCAGGATCCTGCAGAGCCAGGGGCGCACTGACCCGGGCTGGGGCGCAGGATCAGGATCCTGTCGGAACCTGCAGGATTCTGCAGGATCCTGCAGAGCCCGATGGCCCGGGTGTGGATTGACCCGGGTCCGCAGGTCCCCGACTCTCCCACGGCACGCTTTCTGTCGGCGGCGCGCCCAGGGGGGAAGTGAGAAGGGGCGGGCCTTCTCAGAAGGCTCCGAAGTCCCCCGGCCTTGTGAGAAGTTGTGTGAGCCTTCCCCGAAGACAGACAAAAACTTCTCAGAAGGCGCGAGGGCTTCTGAGGAGTTCCGCCGCCTTCTGAGAAGGCCTTCTCGAGGAGGAGGAGGAGGAGGAGGAGGAGGAGGAGGAGGAGGAGGAGGGGGAGGGGGAGGAGGAGGAGGAGGAGGAGGAGGGCCGATTCGGGGCGACCACGGCGCCGCCCCGCGCCGCGGTCGTGCGCGCGATCCGCCCCGCGAGGAGGAGGAGGAGGAGGAGGGCCGATTCGGGGCGACCACGGCGCCGCCCCGCGCCGCGGTCGTGCGCGCGATCCGCCCCGCCGCCCTGCCAGGACGTCCGGTGGATCACGTACTGCGGGAGCAACGGCTTCCACGAGCGGCCGCCCGAGGACGCGGGGCGGCGGCCGGGGGGGGCGCTGTCCGACGCCATCGGGAGCCTCGAGACGGGGGTCAATGCAAACGGGGGTCAGCCAGGGCGCCAGATCCTGCAGGATCCTGCGAAGACCCCCTCGGGCTGACCCGGGTTTGGGAGCCGCTCGTGGCCGCCAGGCGGCCGCACATATTGGCTGACCCGGGTTTGCGAAGACCTGCGTTGCAGTTTTTTTTTTTCCTGCATTGCAGTTTTTGGTTTCCTGCTGACCCGGGTCTGGATTGACCCGGGTCAGAAGATCCCCGACGCCACAGTCAGCGCGCCTGGTGAGGACGCACTCAGGAGGGAAAAACACACACAGACGCAATCCATCGTCGATTTCCCAGAAAATATTGGAGAATATTGGCAGCGGGGGGGGGGGGGGAAGACAGAGGCCCAGAACACATGGGAAATTATATAGGGAACAGTTTTATTTGTGTGTATTTGTTTGTGTATCCTGGGGCCCCTTCACGCACGCCTTCATCCGGGGCACCCTCGTGTCCTTGCCTCTGCGGCCCGTCCTTTGCCGTCTTCACTGGCCTTGTGGAAGACGATCTGTGGAGAGGAAGCGTGTTGTCAAATAGTGTCAATATGTCTGATAAATGTATAAAACATGTTCTAAACATGCATGAGCATACTGAACACATGTTTGAAACATTTTTTAAATCATTCACATCTTAAATCCAATGATATGGCTGTTAGAGTGTCCATTGTCATGGAATCCACAACACTGGTCGCCCGCCGCCCAGCAGATCCCAACTTCGGCCTCCAAGGGTCTCGCGTCCTTACCACCCGTCCTCCGTACACGTTTTGACTGCCCAGAGGGGCCTCGCCGGCGCGCCCGGGGGCAAAGGCAGAGGGGGCGGGCCTCCTCCGAGAAGCTTTCTTCTAAACCTCCCACACGGGGCCGGAGTGGACGGGGTCCGTGGATCGCTCGCAGTCGCCGATGCATCGCCGATGCATCTGCGATGCGGCTCGAAGCGGAGCCCGATTTTGCAGCGCCGTCGTCGCCGATGCACCGGTGATGCATCGACGATGCGGCACGTTCCTCCGACCCGATCTGCTCCGACCCCAGCAGGGGGGCCTCTGCTCTCAGAGGGCGGGAGGGCCTCTGAGCAGCCCCGCCGCCCGCTGCGAGGGTTGCTCTCCTCCTCCTCCTCCCTCCTCCTCCTCCTCCTCCTCCTCCTCCTCCTCCTCCTCCTCCTCCTCCTCCTCCTCCTCCTCCTCCTCCTCCTCCTCCTCCTCCTCCTCCTCCTCCTCCCAGCGCGCCGCCGAGCCTGGGAGCGGCTGGGGTGTGCTTGCGCGGTCCGCTGCGCTCGGCTGCGGCCTCGGGGGCGTAGCGCGGCTGCGGGCCCGGGCGCGCCCGGGGGGGCAGGCCCAGAGCTCGTGCGGGCAGCACCGGGGTCCAGAGCCTCGGCCGGGCCCCCCGCGCGTGCTCGTGTGCCGCGTGCGCGTGGCCCCTCTGCAGGGGCGGCGCGCGCGCTGGAGCCCCTTGTGGCATGAAGCACCGGCGGGGGCTTCCTGGCCGAACCGCTTGGGCGTCGGTGCGCTATGAGATACGTGTACCAGGTTTAAATCGGGCCTGTCCGTCTACAGGAGGAAGATGCAAAAATAGTCAGAAAATGGTCAGGGTTTTTTTTTGAGTATTATTTTTCCATTTTCGGGCATTTGTTGACTATTTTCGATGTTTCGTCCAAAATCCGCCTGCAGGGCGACAGAGGCCCGACCTAATTCTAGGTGTTTGCGTCGGACGTGCGCCTCCCGCATAAGCACGCAGCACCGGCACGTCCTCCTGCGCCCCAGGGCACATCGGGGGTGGACGGACCTCCTACCCCGACACGCCGCTTGAGGACTTGGCCGTTTTCGGTTCGCCAAGAGGGCGCCGCGGCCGTTACTTTTGCGGGTCCGGGCCCGTCGGTTTCGGCCCCAGGCCGTTTTCACTAAAGGGAGGTTTGCTACAGGGAGGTTTGTCCACCGCCGAGCCCTGGGACGCTCAACAGCCCACTCGGGGGCCCCCCTCTGCCAGAGTCCCGGCGACTGCGCCGACGCCAGCCGTCCCCCTGACGGCCCTGCGCGTCCCTCGCTGCCCGGCAAGACGCCCGAGCAGCCACGGGGCACCGGGTCGCACGCGGCCCGAGGTCGCTGCTCGAGCGTGCCCTCCTCCTCCTGCTCCTCCTCCTCCTGGTCCTCCTCCTACTCCTCCTCCTCCCTCCTCCTCCTCCCTCCTCCCTCCTCCTCCTCTCCTCCTCCGCCTCCTCCCTCCTCCCTCTCCTCCTCCTCCTCCTCTCTCCTCCTCCTCCTCCTCCTCCTCCTCCTCCTCCTCCTCCTCCTCCTCCTCCTCCGCGTGCCTGTGCTGTCCCGATGATGTCTCATAGTCAATGGGCTTCGCGGAAGACATGGGGAAGAAAGGAGAATGCCATTAAGCATGCAACAGAGATAACACTGAAGGCAGGAGGCTGGCTCGCCGGCCGACGCGCGCGGCCGCGCGCGGGCGCGCTCCTTTTCTGCTATCGCTGAGCCACAAGGTGTTATAAGCTGCAGGAGCAGAGAATGTCCAAAGCAAGGAAAGAAGCAGCCAGTGAGAAGCAAGATCACGAGGCACGCGCCGCCACCGCGTCAGGGCAGCACTGTCGGGGGCCCCCGAACGGTGCGGTGACCACGCCGTGCGGCGAGTCGGTGGGGATCCGGGGTCACCGCACGGTTTTGGGCCTCGGGTCGTTCTCCGAGGATGTCTCGGGCGACAGGCCTCCGGGGTCCCAAGACCGTTCGGTGACGGACCGTGCGGTGAGGTCTTGGGGGATTTCGAGGTCACCGCACGGTCTGTCACCGCACCGTTTCGGGACTCCAAACATTGGAATTCCTGCAGGGTGGCTCTGCCGAGCCCTTCCGGACGGGCCCGGCAGAAACAGCCCGGGGTTGTGCCGAAAGCATCGCTGCGATGCTCTCTGGCGTGGCGTGGCCGCAGCGCCACACACATAATTACTTGTTGCGTCGCGCTTCTCGGTTGCTTGCTTCTAAGAAGCCCTCCCCCCTCCCCCCACCCCCTTTCGCGCGCCGCCAAGCAGTCGAGGGTGCCCGCGGGATCCCGGCTTGGCGGGCTCCGGGTCGCTGCGTGCGGATGTGCGGCGTGGGGTTGCCGCGCCCTCGGGGGGGGCCGCTCCTGGCCCAGCCTTCTGCCGGGTGCTTGCCCACTGCGAGACCGAAGGTGCGCTTCATCTTCTCTGCAGGGGATGACCGATCACCTGGGTAGCCTTATGTCGGGCCTGTCTCCCTACAGGGGGATTTTCGACGAAAACTACAAAATACCCCCCAAAAAACCTCCTAAAGGTAAACAAAAACTAAAAACATAGTCCCCATACTATTTTGGAGTATTTTTTGATTATCTTTGGGGTATTCTTTATTTTTCGTCGAAAATCCCCCTGTAGGGGGACAGGCCTGACTTGAGGGTAGCCTCCGGGCTGATTTCTTTGCTGGGCTGGGGTCGTCCAGGTGGCATGTGGTGTATGTGCTGGTTCAGGCTGGGACGGCCCGCCTGGCTCACTGCGAGCGGAAGCGTGATTCTCATTCCAGGGTTGTACACCATTAGTACTGCTGGTGACGCTTGCCAGCCGCTCCCCCTGCCGAAGCGCGTCGGCCAAGATGATGAGTGCCCGACGTCCTCGCCCTCGGAGCGCGGTCCTGCTTTGCCCTGCCTTGAAGCTGTGGAGGTGATGCAGCTGTAGCACTCATGCCACCTCACAGTTGGCCCCACCTGGTGTTCGCGGTGGTGCTAGTAGGCGCTGTGGGCCAGCAGACATTCAGAGGTGGCGGGTTTAACATTTCTCTGCTGACAACGTTGCCGCGCAGTCCGACTCCCCTGAAGCCGCGGCGGTGGCCATGGCTTTGGCCGACGAGGTCTTGGGGCCGCCGGTGCTTCTTCCTCCCTCTGGTGCGATCGCAGTGGCGGCTTCTGTGGGATCGGGGCCCTCCTCTTTGGGCAGTGCTGCGCTAGGTGCCTCTTGTTGGCGGCCTGGAGGCGTTTCGTAATCTGGGCCAGGGGCCCGAGGTGCAGGGTAGAGTCGTGATCTGCCAGGGGCGTGCCTGCTTCTGATCTTCCCCGATGGGCGTGGCCGCGGGTTGAAGGCGACCTGCGAGGGTGTGGCTCGAAGTCCTTCCACGAGATCGGCGCGCCGGCGCAGGGCTGCTGCTTTCGGGGGCCACATGCGAACCCTACCCTTACCCCCCACGATTTCTGAGGGGGAGGGCGGGGCTCACTCCGCTCGGGAGCTCCCGAGCGGAGTGAACCCCTCCCTCCCCCTCAGAAATCGTGGGGGGTAGGGGTAGGGTTCGCCCGTGGCCCCCTATGGTCGCCTCCCATTGGTTTTCTCTTCTGCGCCGCGCGCCGCGCGCGTTCGGGGGTGAAAGAGGGCCCCTCCTTACTAAGGGATGCTCGCCTCCCATCGTTTTTTTTCTCTTCGCCGCGCGCTTCTCTCCCTGTCGGCCCCTGCGGCAGGCGCTGCCGCGCCGGGCGGGCGCGGCGCCGCGCCCGCGGGGGTCGGCCCCGCCGAGCTCCCGCCCGCTGCCGTCATCAGGCCCCGGCCTCCTGGGGCCTGCGTGCGCAGCAGGAGCCGCAGGGCCTCGATGCTGGGCTCCAGGGGGAGGAGGAGGAGGAGGAGGAGGAGGAGGAGGAGGAGGAGGAGGGAGGAGGAGGAGGAGGAGGAGGGAGGAGGAGGAGAGGAGGAGGAGGAGGAGGAGGAGGAGGAGGAGGAGGAGGAGGAAGGAGGAGGAGGAGGAGGAGGAGGCGGAGGAGGAGGAGGAGGAGGAGGAGGAGGAGGAGGAGGAGGCAGGAGGAGGAGAGGAGGAGGAGGAGGAGGAGGATGAGGAGGAGGGAGAGGAGGAGGAGGAGGAGGAGGAGGAGGAGGGAGGAGGAGGAGGAGGAGGAGGGGGGGGGGGAGGGGAGGAGGAGGAGGAGGAGGAGGAGGAGGGAGGAGGCGGAGCCTCAGG